GGCGTGCAGTCTGACCTGGACCCCGGCCCCCAGCCTACCCTGCAGGCCACAGCAGGCTCTTCCCTCCCCACTTCCAGCCCAAAAGGTTCAGTTAGCTCTTCTTTCACCTACGAGAAAATGTCTGGTGGAAGGGGCGGACAGCAGTGGACGATGTCCCCAGCCTACCCCCATCCCCATGAGGGCCTGGTCTCCCTGCAGGTGGAATTGACCCTCTGGTACGGGGCCTGCTGGCCAAGAAGTCCAAGTTGTTGAGTCAGAAGAGAATGATGACGGGCGACCTGCGCAACAAGCTCTTCCAGCCCCCTTACACGATCCACGGCTTTGACCTAGCCGCCATCAACATACAGCGGTGCCGGGACCATGGGATGCCCGGTGAGTGGGCCAGGGGTCCAGCCATGCCTGGGGAACTTGTGGCTGCTTCCCAGGGTTCCTGCGGACTCTCTTCTATAGCCCTGAGGCTCTGATCAGTTTTAAAACAGAAGACCAAGATGCCCATTTTTAAAACTTACTTTGTTCCTCTGTGAAATGGAATCTTCCAGTCTCCCTAATGCAGAGACCAGAAAACACATCTGGTACTATCTTTGAGCTCCTCAGACGAAAAAGAAATCAACAACTGACTTCTAAAACCAGTTTTAAAGCCCCGAAAATATTAAGAAATGGATCGTAGAGGGAAAGCAATGATTATTGGGCCTTCTTAAATGTAGTACTTAAGAGCCACACTGCCTGGGTTCAGATCTCGGCGACACCTTGTCTAGTGGTGTGACCTTTGGCGAGTTACTTAACATCTCTGTTCCTCAGTTTACATATTTGTACAGTGCTTGGAGTAGTGCCTGGACCCAGAGCAAGCCCCAAAGAACCTACTAGCCCTCTCTAGGCTTCAGTGCCACAGTATAAAACAATGGCTTCCTTCCTGCCTACCCTGTCCCAGAGGTTGCGAATCCAGACTTTCTGGGGCTGATGCAGTGGGCGTGTCCCCCAAAGAGACTGTGGGCAAGAAGTCCCTGGGATGAGACAGCTTCAGCCTCTCCGCCCTAGGGTACAACTCCTGGAGAGGCTTCTGTGACCTCTCACAGCCCCAGACGTTGAAGGAGCTGCATGCAGTGCTGAAGAACAAGAAGCTGGCTAAGAAGCTACTGGATCTGTACAGGACCCCCGACAACATCGACATCTGGCTAGGGGGCATCGCTGAGCCCCTGGTTAAAAGGGGCCGGGTGGGGCCTCTCCTGGCCTGCCTCCTGGGGAGGCAGTTCCGGCAGATCCAAGATGGAGACAGGCGAGTGACCCCACCGTGGGGAAGGCGGGGAGGGAGGCACTTCTCTGCGGGGGGCGTCCCGATGTCCTGCCTGAGGACTAACTCCAGACCTCGGCACGGCCCCAGTGACCTCGTTCCTACCCTTTGACAGAGTTGGGAGGGGCCCACAGCTGGGCTGATGGAGAAACTCTGCGTCTGTCTCTGCAGGTTCTGGTGGGAGAACCCTGGGGTCTTCACTAAGAAGCAGCAGAAGTCTCTACAGAAAATGTCCTTCTCACGCCTTGTCTGTGACAACACCCACATCACCAAGGTCCCGCTGCACCCCTTCCAGGCCAACAGCTACCCTCACGGCTTTGTGGATTGCTCAGCCATTGATAAGTTAGACCTCTCACCCTGGGCCTCAGAGAATTAGGGGCCTGGACTCCACACTGTGTAGTAAAGCACCCTTTGGTCCATGATGCCATTTCAAGCAAGTTCAATGACCTGGTCCCTTAGAGCACCACACCCTAGTCCCAGCCTTCTTTCCAGCAGGGTCTCTCTACACGCCCCAGCCTCGCTCCAGCCCAAGGCCAGCCGCTCTGGCCTCTCCAGCGCTTCCTCTTGAATCCCACTGTTCCCATCCGCATTCCCCCATCCTCTCTGCCTGTGGAAATCCTCCTTTCTGTCAAGACTTGGACCACTTGAGATGCTTTCCAGATATCT